TATCTGGGGCAAAATAAATGTGGAATATGGCTGTACTGCATCGCCAGTATTTTTTGAACCAGTTCGATATAAAAGTTTTCTAGATCTTTCAGCAGCACTGTCGTTATCAGTACCAGAACCTGCAGTTGCTTCTTTCAGTGCTTCAAAATAAGAATTTGCAGATTCGACAACACGAGTTTTGCCCTCAATTCTTCGTAGATTATCTTTATAATCAGTTCTTGTATCTCTATCAATTTTATTGTCGACCCATATTCCTTAAAAAAAACGTTTATAAAATAATTAGCAGTAAGCTAGTTTAATGGTTTCTTAGCTTGTAACTTGAATTAAAAGAATTAGAAGTTTTTTAGTAATTAGCGAGTTTATCAAACGTATGTTCCCTGGTAATTTATTAAAAATGGATTAGAATGAAAGTTTAGTTGTAGTGTAACCTTCATTAATTGTTGTTTTCCGTTCACATACAGATTTTTTGTAAAAGTCTGAGAATGAACAAATTGAATCTTCTGGGCAATCACTATCAGTTTCGCAGTGAAATGATGGTGGAGTTCTGAAGGATATCTAAAATAATGCTTGTTGATTTAAATCTTTCACTACTTCAATCATCATCAACAACTTCAATAACGAAAGTACTCAAAAGAAAGAAAAAATCCATCTTTTTTTCCTTTTAAATATACTCCTCAATCTATTATACTTTTACGTCAGAACTTTTTTTTTTTGTTTTTTTTCTTTGCTTAGCACAACAATCACTAAAAAGATTGCAATAAAACTGCACGAAAAATTTATTTTTAGCAGCCAAACTACAAAACTAAATAGAGCGGAAAAAAAAGTAAGATCAGTAAACTAATAAAAAAAGATACAAAAAGGGGTAGAAGGTGCAAAAAGAAAGATTTGAACCTGACAAGTATTTTGGTTTTTGAAATGTACGCATTGAAGCTGTGGCAGACATTCACTGTCGCTGAAGCATTTTTCATTCAGTCGTTTCTCTGTTAAAATGATCATATAACAGTTAATGCACAAAAAAAAATAAATAAATAAATAAATAAAAGGATGAATAAAAAGTTTAAAAACAAAAACAGTTACACTTAATTAAACGACAACAACAAAAAAATGAACGTAACAACAAAATAATTTTTTGATATAAAAGCCAAAAAAAAGAAAAAGAAACAAAAACTACTAAAAATGCTGTTCTTTTATTGTGTCTGAATTGGTTCGCCAAAAAAAAAAAAAAAAGGGAAAAAGCAATTGATTAACGATATTATAAAAATGAGAAAAACAATTTTCTTCCAACAGTTAGAAACATTTTTATTGAAAAAAAAAAAAAAATAACAAACAAAAAAGTGGGTAACAAAAAATGATGTAAATTGTGACAACACAGAATCTATCAGTCAGATTGAGCTTAGTTATCAATAAAACTGGCTGAAAATGATACCCAACAAATGAGAAGAAAAAGAAACAAGTTTATTAAGACGATGTCTTTTTTTTTTTGTTAAATTGTAATTAAAGTTTTAGTTATTAATTAATTGAATGAAATTATGAAACATTTAAAATACTGTCAAAAAAAAGAAATAGAGGTTGATTTTTTGCAAGTTTCGCTTTTTTCCCCCCCCCCTCCCCTCCATTCATTCTTCGATTCTTTTGTTCCGTTATTAGCCTACTGTTCTGCTAAAAACTTTTTACTTCATTCAATTTTATCTGCTTTTTTTTTTCTTTTCTCTTTCTCGTTGATCTTATAAGACAAAAACAGCAAAAAAAAAACACTAAAAACTAAAGATACGCTAGTTTTCTTGTAAAATTAAATATCCACAATTTTGCTTCTTCCATTTTTTTTTTTGCTTTTTGTTATGATTTATTTTTGAGGAAAAACAGTTTAAAAACACAGAGTTATTTCAAAAAAAAATTCTAAAAGCTAAGCACTAATATCGCATAATTTTGACCGAAAATCTATCTTTTTACCCACTGAAATTCGAAAGCTTAGTTTTAGAGCTGTACCCTTTTTTTGTGTTCAACTTTTTTCTGCTCACTAACTGTATACATTATGGGTAAGCAGCAAAGAAAAGAAGAGCTTAATGCTGTTTCCCTTACAACAGTCTTAGATTGTAGCTGTAGTTTAATTTATTTTGAGGGGGGGGGGTGAGTGGCTTT